AAAATAATAATTAATATTATTATATTTTTTGAATTTCAGGATATTATTTGAATCCAACATTTCAGTATTCTATGGATCTTAGTGTTGATGGAGAATTTGTCAAGTTATTTAAAAAATGTGGTTGTAAAGTTGGAGACTGATGAAGATAATGTTGCTATTGCAATAGAAGAGGTGAGTGTAAATTTTTATATAACTATTAGTTATTATTTGTTTATTCATTGTTCATTAGTTTTTACAAATTTATAAATTATATAATATGTTTTGATGATTTTATCAAATAATATTAATACTTGTTATTTCAAATAACAATAATGTCAAATTATTCTGTGATGCACTATAAGGATTTGGAGATGGTTTGGCATAAAGAGCAAGAGATAAAACTAACATAAGTATAATAGAGTTCTAAATTTCTAATATAGTTTAGAATTATTAGTCTTTTATTAAGTGCTTTTTTTTTATTTTAATGATATATGATACTAAAATATTTTTTATATTTTTCAACTGAATGGTGGTTGATGTATGGTTAAGATGCTCAACATATTCAAAAGATAGCAATAAAGGTATTATCACAAATTGCTTTATCTAGTGGTTGTGAACTCGACTGAAGTATCTTTGGCCCCATTCATACGAAACAGACTCTAGAAAAATTGGTATATGTGCATTACAGTATGAGACTAAGGGTTATATATCTTACTAGAGATAGAAGGCATGGAGAAAGTTATTTTGACTCAATTAACCTTGATGACATATATGATGAAGATGATCAAGTATTGTCATGGGTGGCAAAGAAAAAATATACATCTAAGGGCATCATATGAGTTTATTGCTAGTCAGTTTGGTGTAAATGTTGATCAATGGGTCAAAGAACAAGAGAAATATATGAAAAACAAAGCTACTGTTAATGATGATGATGATGATGACGATGATGATGACGACGATGATGGTGGTGGTGGTGGTAGTGGTGCTGGTAATGGAGATAGTAACACTTGAAACAATCAAGATGTTGATTCTAGAAGTTGTCAAAATGAAATGATGAATATCTTAAATAGGAATTCACAGTTAATGGGCAATTGTGGTTATGAAAGACAAAATGAGTGGAACTAAGCCTATATTAACCCTGTGAATGAAATGATGCAAGGCATGGGTAGCATGAATTTAAGATCATCTCTAGATTATGGATATGTCATGGACCACATGACTACTGCTCAATTTGCTCTTAGATCTACTTTATTCGCTATGAGTTTTGGCTTTTTGGTGGAGGATGTAATGATAGGCAAACTGATGATTCATCTTCATACAACACACAGAGTACACAATAATATGATTCACATGATTATGGATCAAGTTATCAGTCTCAAACTCATTATCATCAATGCACTTGGAGCAATATGAATATGTAAATCCTTACTCCACTATGATGAGTTGGAATGGATATTTTCAATTTGCATGTAACTTCCTATGGTACTGATGATCGTCACTTTTGATTATAGGTACGATAATAAATTACTAAGTAGTGACATTTTTTATAATTTGTATGATTTTTTTTATTTATTAATTATCTAATTTTAATAATATATTATTTAGGTTGAGAATAAATTCCATCACTTTGTTACCATTCACTAACTTACTGAAGCCATGAATATAATGAAAGTGATAAAGGTATGTTCTAACTTCTAAGTTCATCATATTGGGATCCACATGTTCAATTTGTAAATTATAATAGATTGAAAATTTGAAGTTGGAACTGAATTAAGTACTTTATTGGATAGTATGTTTTTGTTTTTGTATATTGATTATAATATATATATTTTATCATAAAACCCGCTAAAGCATGTTATTTTTATGCATAAATAGCTCATTTATGTCTTATATTTAGTGATGTTGATGATTATTTATGATTTATCAGAGTATTTATAGAATTTTCATGCATATCTTAATTTTTCGTCCGTATCCATGCGTATTCAAGGCGTATCCCGATACGTCTCTTAAATTTGCCTTTTCGATGCGCATAACATTTCTGATACTTTGAACCTTGGGGGTGAGTAGGTAGAGAAATGGTCCAAACCAAAGAGAGTAATGTGTGATAGATCCCATAGAGCTTACCTTGAGGGGTATGCCTTTATATAGACCGAACACCCGTGTTGTAGTTGGATGAGGTCTGGGTTTGTCTGGATAAGGTTGCCCATTGAGATTATTGGGAGGTCCTGCTCTCCTTGAAAGGCCGTGTTTCCTTGCCAGTGCAAGACTTTGCTTCCTCACGAAGCCTTTTTGTGACGTAGTTGTGGTGACGTGTGCTGAAGTGGTTTGAAGTCATTGGCTATAGAGGCAGATCACGTGGTAGCTTTAACCAACTAAGGCATCACAAAAACAATGAAAAAGTAGTAGTAAGGGTGTCAATGGACCAATTTTGGACGGATTGGATGGACCAACAAAACATATTGGATTGGATTAATCCAGTCCAAAATATTTATTATATGGGATTGGACCTAGTCCGTTCGTAATAAATTCATATTGGATTAGGTTAGGTTAAGCCAATATCTGGTTTATTGATATAAGATATGAATATAGGTGTCAATGGACCATGTTTTGGTTGAAAACAATCTAAATTAAAACAAATTTGAACATATTGGACAGTCCAGACATTGAATTGGACTAGTGTGTTCAATTTTTTCTATAATTCTTTTTTGCATTTATATGTGTAAAAATAATTATGATATGTCACACTTACCTCTTGTTTAATATGATAATTATATGATATTATACATGTGATTGAATGTTCTGTTGCTAAATTTATTCATTTTTTTTTCATTTTGTATTTTTATATTTCATTAATTTTTATTGATTGATTGATTTATTTATTTATGACATTAACCACTAAAAAATTTGACCCAAAAGTTAAACTATTGATGTTTGCCAAACAATAAAATAATTTCATTTTTGCTCAATTATAAATTATGTATTTAATTTTCATTATCAATAAAAAAAATTATTGTTTATTACACTTATTTTTTAATTTTATTAAAAAATATCATAAATGTATCTAATTTTTTATATTTATTTTTATTTAAAAAATTTTATTACCTAACTATGACTATATAGGTCGATCAATTTGATTCGGATGGTTTAATTTCTTAGCCACCACTTTGATAAAGAATGATTTTGTTATTGGGTTAGTTTTAAAATATCGGAGTTTATATTGTTAAAAATGTTGGCATAGAGGTTGAAAGTAATAATTGAAGTTACATTTTCAGATATGCATTAAATAGACATTTATGGACATTTTAATAACAAATGAAATAATTTCTCAAACAATGAAATAAGAAGTAATTTTAGGAGGGGTGATCATTGTTTGGTTAAAACCAAAAAACAGAACTGGAATTTTCGGGTTTGGTTAATTTGGTTTTAAAAAATGTTGCTTTCGGTTTCGGTTTTCAAGATTAGAAATTCGATTAACCGAAAAAACCAAAATTTATTATATATATTATTAATATATAAAATTTAATATATTATAATATGTATATAATATTAAAATATATAAAATACATTAACATATACATATATTATAATATACATAAATATATTAATATATAATATATAATATATATTAGTGTAATATTAATAAAATTCGATTTTAACTAAAATAACTGAAAACCCAACCAAAAGAATTGGTTTCGGTTTTTTAATATTTCAGTTTCGGTTTGATTTTATATTTTATAAGTTTAATTTTTAAAAATTTGATTTATTCCGTTCGATTTTTAACCGAATAAACCGCTCCCTAAATTTTAATTCAACAAAACTCCCACTACGCATTTCCACTTTTATTTATAAAATATAGATTTAAAACTACTTAAATAAACTACTGTTACATTGCAAATCCTAAATGCTGGGCTCACAATTGAAATAATACAAGTACAAACATGTATAGTAGAAATCCAAGATTTTGCTATATTTACATTTGTATTCTTTTCCTAACTAAGCCCTATTTAAGCATCTAACCATCCATGCAGCGGAGAGGAGACGAGACATCAGAAAAGACAAATGAGAAGACATAAATAAGTAAATAACAATTAACAACACCATTCGAGCACTCACACGGTCACACCATTCCTCGGTGTTATGATGCCAATTGTCAAACTAAGAGGATTTATGGGTCTTGAACTCTTGGGCCTCCAAGTTCACAAAAGCCATATGTGTGATGGAATTGGGCCCATGTTATTGGAACCCATTATTAGCCTGCCAAGATCTGGGCTCAATCCCGTTGGGTAGTTTTGCACTCAATGCATCGAATCCATGAAGGAAAATAGTGCGGCCCGTGTGCCTGCTGCAATCATGGCCACGGCATGGATTGATCATGACACGCACAGCACAGCAAGCGGTATCGTAAGCCTAGGTATGCAATGCGTTGATCCCACATAAGGGTCAATAATTTTCAAATGTCAACTGGTGGACAATCACAACCGTCCATACTGATGACGATGGAGTCGTTTGGAGATCAACCCCATGGACCCATCCAACACTGATCATTCAACCAATGCAGTAAATAACATCCAACAAATTTGGACGGTCTGTACTGATGCCATGGCCCACTAAAGGTAGGGATTAGGGAAAAGGGAAATTTCCATGGACCTTATGACCTGAGACAAGGTTCAGTGACCCCTCTTTTCTGATTGGCATCCAAATATCAGTGGGCCCAAATCCTCTTTTATTTGTTTATTGGGTTATGGACTTATTGATAGGAGACCGGATCTGCTCGAAACAGAAGACGCCTCACACGCGCCTCACAAATACATCTTAGGAACATTTTCCGTACTTTTAAGTTATTATTCATGGGAGATGTTCACAATACACGGCGGATGTGCATGTGAGGCGCCCGAGTGCGAGGAGCATATCCCGTCTCGATTGATAGAGTCCGTGAACCCACCTCAGGTTTCAAACCTAAAGGCTGTGTACACATATCTATTTTCTAATTTCTTTAACCAAAAGAAAGAAATCCGAGGCCACCGTAGACAAAGGGCTAGTTGGGACCACTGGCAGTCTGGCTCTTCTTTTGTACTCGGTCTCTGCAACATTCAATCATGTCATCTCCTTCATCCTTCTTTTCCGGGAAAAATGCAATGTCTTCCACCATTACCAACCGCACCAAGATGTTGCATTGCTAAAAATTAAAGAAGTACCCAGTTCTCTGAAGCAACAGTTTCTTGATTTTTCCTCACTGGTTTTTCTACTTGCCGAGTCGCGAACAAACGCATTAGTCCAAACTCCAAAGTGGTTGAAGGAGCAGAACTCCTCTGCATTTAGAGTAATTTTCCGCTTCTGTTTTGTTGCATTCCTTCCCCCAAAAGCTCATTTAATCTATCTTGAGGAGAAAGAGAAGAACCCAGTTTCTGAACAGAAGCTGATATTTTCTTTACTCCTCCCTTTCTTAGTTTATTTCTTCCAAAACTATTACCGATTTTCGTCTCTTTTCGTTCTCCTTACTCAAACCCATTTAGGAGGTCTATATAATCTGCATTTCTCCAATTTTCTCTCAACTCGCAGTAGCTAGAATATAAATTATATTATTAGAGGTAGGGTGAAGAAAGAATATATTTCCATAATTTTGCAAAATTTTCCTCATTTTTTTGGTTTGTTTTATATTTTCAGATACTTAGAAGCGAAACCCATCCAAATAAAACAGAGATTGCAAGTGTTGGTGGTCGTGATGATGTTGAAGAAACTATGTTGCTACATTTGGCTCATTCTCTGTAACTTGCTGCTTGTCGTTATGGTTTCCGCCAAAAGCCACGGTAACAATGCTCTTTATCCTTCCCTCTTTTGTCTTTGTTTTATTTCTTTGTGTTTGGAAATGTTGTTTGCTTTTTTTTAAGCTTCTTATTTAATTGGAGCTGTTGTTTTCTTCTACATTGCTACTTCCTCTTGTAGCTATTGTATGAAGTACAAATCTGGTCTGAACAGAACCTACAATCTAGAGCAGATTGTATCAGATAACATGGTGCAAATTCAAGTGATTCGAGATTCAGTGTTTGGATCTTACTACAATGTCTCTAGGCAACAGATATGTCAAGCCAGATGATCCCAACCATCGGATGAATAGATGTCAATTTTAACTACGTTATTCTTGATAATCTACCATTCTCTTACCGTAGGTGTGAAAGTGTGTGATAGCCCATAGCCCATAGCAGGAATGGTTATTATCGTCCTACTCCACTGACTTCTGACAGGACTTTGTGGCAGGGCAACCATTCAATGGTGATTGCTCATCTTGTAGATTTGCTCTGGATGCCTTGACATTCCAGCAGTTACCTTCTCTAATAGGCAGAGTGAATTTTGTTTCGTTTTGGTAGTACAGATTCTACAGAAGAGTTCATTTCAATACTGTACTGCTGGGTGAAAACTTAATCTCACAATGCCAGGTCATGTTAGGCTCACCCTTAATGTTTACTCTTCTTTGTTTTTCCCTCAGTCCTGAATTTAGGAATTATAAAATAAAAAAAAAGAAAGAAAAAGAAGAAAAACCTGCTCAATGGATATGGATTGAGTAAATGATGTTTCACTTGCATATTACATACCTAGAACCAGTTAAAGAGGAACTTATGGATTCTGTTTTCTATAAATAAAAAACCTTCTCTATTGTGGTCTATGATATTTGATGTTGTTGGACATCATCTACATTCATGTACAGACACATGCTGATGCTATTTAACCAAAACCTAATTTACCATTCACTCTTATTTTCAAATAGGTACAGTATTTGTATATTGCACAATTAGATTTGTGAAACAAACTTTATAAATGTATATGCTTCCATGTTTTGCAGAATCTATGTCTCATTCCTTGTATCAGTCTTATATGCAATTCTATCTTAGACAGATTTTTCCATCTCAGGCTTATCATTATGTTGATTTTATTCATAGTCTCTTTAAGATCTCCAAGTAACCGATTTGATTGAAGATGTAGCAAAGTGCAGCATTCTTACTTGTATTCTTTTCAACTTCACTTTGTTCATTGTTTGTTATTTGTATTCTACTCTCATATGCTTCTTTAGATAAAGTTCAAAATTTTTGTTGTTGCACTCTTAGCATGGGTGTATGAAGAACCTCCAATGGATTATTTAAAATCTGGTCCCTTAAGATTATTATATAAATAAACTTCTGTATATGTATACAATCTATATCAACATAAACCTGATTTTTTTGTTTATCATTTGAAAATAATTTTATTAGATATATAAATAAAGAGATCAGATGAGTTTTGTATCCTTATACCCAGCTTGCAGAACTATTATAAGTGAACAATAATGGTCAATGAGATCAATAAACACTGTTTACCATTATTGTTGTCCTTTTGCTTCCAGGACCAAGCAGAAAGAAACATGGGCATGCTGTGTAAGGTACCTGGAAATTGACATCACCATAAAAGATACAACATCAGAAAAGTTATAGATGCTATAACCCTTCTTTCTTTTTTTCACTATTTTACTAAAGTCATGTTTCATAGATCAATCACCTTGTTTCATGGTCCATATATAACCTTCTTCCAATCTTAAATAACATAATGTGGAAAACCCTCAACCTCAAGTAGTCAGGTATTTTTCTTTGAAATGGATAGACTCATAGACAGACAAAAATGCACATATTTTTGTGTGAATGGGCAATAAGCCCTCTTGCAGAATTATCTAGTTTTTCTTGTGATTCCGGTTGTTCTATACCTCACTCCCATAGTTCATTCTTTAAATTTTAAAGCTTCTTGTCAAGTCAGCTACCAAAAAACAACAATTATGAAATAGAAAAGGTGAAGTAAATTAAATCCAAACAAACAAGAATTTCACTATGGAAAATGCCTGCTTGCTGTGAAGCTGGTATAGTTTAACAACATGTAACAGTATCTACACCATTCATGGCTTAATTTTCTGAATGTAAGGGGTGCAAAAACTGTTCAGTTCCTAAATATTGTCAACTAGATCATTCTATCCTTCAGTATTCGAGATGATAGTTCCCTCAAACGATCTCCTGAGTGTTGCCCCCTGTCACTCTGAGAAAGAAATCAAATTATGTCACCATCCTTTTTTCCTTTATAAATCTTCCTCATATCTCATCCTAAGAAATCCTTCCCCTCTTCATTCAAGTTCTGATCCCCCTTGATCAATTTGCTCACATATCATCTCCACCTTCTCCCCTCCAATCTCGTTTTCAGTAACCGCCCCAATCAGAGATTCTCAACTGGCCTCTTCTGACTTGCTTTTAGTCCCCTCTTATTTCTGAGTTCTTTAACTTCCGGCTCATTACAAACTTTTTTGAATCAAAACCATCACCCTCAAGAAAAAGAATACACCCAAAGCCTTCTTTACCTGAACCTCTCTTTTGACTATTGTATTAAGATCAAATTTTCTATTAACACTTTAACAACAAACACTTGACCAACCTACACCACACCTTTCCCCTCCATGATGATTCTTATTAGGGCCCCTTCTTTAAACCAATTTTTATTTGCTACTCAATCCCTAGCTCAGGGGCCATTATTTGGTTTAAATCTTGGGCTGACAAGTGTTAGAACATGGGTTTGAGTCTGAGAACAGTCACTTTGTGCCAAAAAAAGGCATTGTTCTGTTTCCAGTCTACCCCACCCAAGCATTTTATGACTGGCATGGGGTGTTATCATTGGTTCCAAAGATTTTTGCACAGCCATCATGTTCAGCTAATCCGAATTAACCCAAGATTTGGTAATGGCCTTTTTACTCAGCCCTAGCCCATGGAGACCTAAATCTAGACAATGGCCTGGTAACCTGAACATATAGTAGACTTAGTAGTTCTTCAGACCTTTAGCCTGACTAACAGGACCTAAAATGTTCTCCTTTGCTGAAAGAATCTGGAACTGGAGGTCTGGAAATTCCATAGATCTATCCTCTATCCCACTTCCAGCATTCATAATGCAACCAAAATTCACATAAAATTTTCCAATTGGAAACTCAAAACAAAGCTATGACTTATTCTCTATTTCCTCTCCATCCCCTGCAGACAACATAGAATTTCTATTTTCACGTTCTGATTAATCCCAACCTACTGAATCATCATTGGAATCTCAAATTAGAAACCTTTCCATGATTAACCCTTGCCTCATCAATTCCAACCTGATTACCTCTGCTGGTATGTGGAATCCATATTTGTTCACTTGAATCTGCGAATCATATGTATGTACATCCATCATCAAACCTCTGCTCACCTATTTAACACCATTGTCATTTTAATACACCAATTTATTGGCACTCTATCTTAAATGATCCAAGGAAAAATTATAAAAGAACTTTGATGAACATGTAGTTCAAAAGGAAAAATTATAAAAGAACTTTGATGAACATGTAGTTCAAGAGAAACTTATTGTTGGGAATATCAATGTTCCTCGCATCTCCAGCTAACAGATCTACAAGTGTGGTATCGGGTTCCTGGTGGACATTGCTGATAACAGGAAGAGATCAAGTGTTCTGCCATATGACATTGTTGATATTTGCTAACTTACATCATACTAGCTCTTCTTTAACTTAACTATTGTGATAACATGCCATCACTCATGCTCTATATGTTCGCTTTTTCATGCATTCTTTTTAAGTATAGCATACTACCGTTCATGCTCTAATTTTGACTGCCTATGCACTCTTATAATGTAGCCCAATTCTATGGTTTTATCCTGTTCTGTTAATTCTCTTAAGCTATTATGTGGTATTGTTGTGCAGGAAACCCTGCAAATGAGCTTGTTTCTATTATTAATGAGAATCGAACAGCCCAAAAGCTTCCAAGGCTAAAAGACAATCCTGGTCTTGGGTGCATGGCCTTGCAGTATGCAGTGGACTGCAAAGGTAACTGTACTGCCAATAACACCGTAAGCTGCCAACCTTCTGAAGATGACTTCACTGAGATCTTCGCACCCAACTGTGGTGTAGAACTGCCTACCTTTGACAACATATCTGGCCACATAGTGGGGTGTCAGTTTAAGTATCTGGAGCCATCACAAGCATTCTCAAACATTCTTGTCCGAGACAAGAAGGCTCTATCCCTATTGAGAAGCAAAGAACACACTGAAGTGGGAGTAGGCTTGATTGGGACTCACCGAGGTCCTTTCTTTTGGTGCATTTTGTTTAGCAATGGCCAAACGAATTCAACATTTGTTCTTGAAGGTGGTGGCAGAGGCATCAAGCAGAAGAGAGGATGCTTCAGTGGAACGATCATTCAGTGCAGTGGGGTTCACAAGATTGATTTTTTCTTAAACACCTTTCTGATGATCATATACATTATATTTATCTGTTACTCCAGTAATATCATAGTTCTATGAGAACCTTGAAAACATGGCGAGGCTATTGTAATGCCTTTTTCTTTTAACTATGGTTTCGTCACATTTAAGATGAAAGAACACAAAGAAGACCATAAAGCTCTTCAATCACTTTCATTCATTTTATATGTGAGTCTCTTCAGAGTTAAGAGAAGCATTTTTTACATTTCTAATCCCTGAACCAACAGTTTGAGACTTTGAGGTGGTCTAAAGACCTTACAAAAGTGAAAATTTTCATTTGCCTTGAATCTGACCATAGTATCTGGGGTTTTCATAAACAGATCGATTAATTGCTCACCAAAACCAAGTTCTGCTCATTCGTGATATTTTTGCCCTGTTATTTAGTTGAAAAGGGAAGGTGGACCATGCGAATCAACCATGTAAATAGATGGATTTGATGAGCAAATTTACAGTGCATCAGTATTCAATTAAGTGGTCTAGTCGCGTAGACATCGTGCACACTACTGAAACTAAAAATGACAGAATTTTGTCCAACAACCCTACTGTCAGAAAACTCCAGCAATTTGTTTATGGTTTGATATTTCATGGTTACTAAGAGCGCTTAGAGGTATCAGAGGAAAACTCATACCGAGATTGTGAGACTTACATGTGCATTGGTGTGTATAAAACATCAATGCTCTTAGTTATCTATGAGTTTCAAATAACATCCCCTGTACTACACCACCAGAAGGCAGCAGTCTTACCGACTGTTTCCACTTTCTTGCAGAGACCTATTGGATTGAACTAGACAACCGAAAAAAAGGGTCTGAAACCCATGTGGATGTCCATAAGGCTGTGTTTGGTTTCAATGCAAATAAATTTGCACTGATGCAAAACCATGACAGTGCAAATGATTGGAGTGTAAATTCTGACCTGTTCTTGTTTCAAATTTTAGCTTATTTTGCTTGATTGCAGTACAAATGAAGTAAATTAAGACATGAACAAAGTAAAATCCAAAACAAAAATAAACAAGAATTTGCATTTTTTACATTTGCACTCCCATGCATTTGTACTAGTGCAAATAAATTTGCACTGCAACCAAACACAGCCTAAGGCACTGTCTCAGTGACAAAATCCAATATTTAGTCCAATTATTGATGAGGCGCCTCTTGTCAATGTGCTCTTTTATTTTTCCAAAGGATTTAAGCCAAATGATCACTGAAGATTAAACCAATTTTATTTATTAAAGTAATAGGGTAGTCATAGTTGGCAACTGGCCAACTGCTCTAAGCTTAAAAATTGGGGAAGTGCCAACACCAATCAGTAAAAATAAAGGTTGTCGTTGCATCATCTGATACGTAGCCCCTACCACCACAAAATAAAGGCTCACGTATTGGAGCCTTTTCGATACGCCCCTACAGGGGTGTTTCGGATCGGCAAGTGGTTCAGGGGGTAGACCGGTCTTAAACCGGCCCCTCTAAACCAGTTTCGAAAAAAAAAAGAAACATAAAAAACAGTACCAATACAGGCCGGTAGAACCTTGGTGTGAACTCTGATGCCACATCCCTCGTGCATTTTTCCTCTCAAATTTTGGCAATGGCTAAAAGCGAAAAGCTAGCTAAAGTTTATCAGGCCTGTAAAGCATCATTTCAAGTGTATTGATTACCATAAAAAAATGGTAGTACGTTGATTGCATCGATTCAAATCCATGATTAACAAAGAAAATTGGGTTTAGGGCAACAACAATAAATAAATGAGAAGGCAAATATGAGCAACGTTGTAATTATCGGAACAATCTTTTCAATTATTTTCTTTTACCATCTTTTTCCTTCTGTAAGTACAGTATTTTATGAAACAAGATACACGTAGAAGTATTGAGTCATCACTCTATCTATGTTCAGTCACAATGTGGACGCCTAACCATCTTAGTTTCATATTCATAGCCTGCCCCATTGAGTGCCACGGTAGCAAGTTGGCAGGACTTGAACCAGTTATTCCTACAACAAATGTAAATCCCAATAAAAGAAATAAAACTATGTTTACTATACCATATGGAGATACAGAATTTCTAATCATGATTATAAATAGCATGTATATATGCCTTACATTTCCATTGTGTGCCAATGCTAACCATTACCAGTAGGTGTTGTGTCACCTGGCTTATTTGTCTCTGCATGCATGAAAATACAGTCTAAGAATTATAATAATATATGGTATATAATGCTTGATTGATATAATTGAAATGTACTAATCAGGCAATTCGTGCCTTTTTACCTTTGCAGCCTCTCTATTGCCTAGTTTTAATTGGGTATACCACCTATTGCATGGTCTGTTCAGTGCCAAAACCATCCCAAGTTACAGATGTGCTGGGGTTCACAGAAAACTTTACAGGGTTGTTTACTACTGCACATTTTCTAATAGCCTCTTCAATTGCAAAAACTGCAATAGTGTAACTCTCTTGAGATATCGATCCCTCTATACCCAATTTAAGGGCTCGTTGACACAAATCATTACAGCGTTGTGCCCTAGATCCCAATTCCTCTGATCTTTGTCTTGTTCTATACCTGTTCTTTGCATCTCTAGTCCACCGTTCAAGAATATACGTGGATGGGATTTCAGTCAAAGCTGAAAATTGCAGAACAACCATTGCATGCCTACAAAGAAAGCCTTTATATTCAAATAAACGACATAGACAAGACACCTCCAACTTCGTTTTGTTCCATGTCACTGTGAACTCTTCTTGTGCTTCAAAGTCATGAACCCTGAAAATGATGTGGGTTCCATCTTCTTTCTCTTTTTTAGGATGGCATGCAACCGTTCCCAATACCTCTTCTTGGAATTTCCTGAATATTTTGTAGGTATAGATTGTAGACATTTGCTTTTCATAGGGTGAATGAGACTTCAAAGGAGGCATTTCATGCCATGTTTCAGAATCTGCTCCAGATTCCTTGTCATGCCTATCTTGTAGAATCACTTTACATTGCGTTAAAAACTCTTTCAAAGTGGTTTTCTGATGCACACAAGTATCAAAGAAAGAGATAATACTGTCAGATCGGTTGGTAGTAGATATCCCAACAGCAGAAGTACCCTTCATATAAACTGGTACCCAATGCTTACGATCATCATACAATGATCTAATCCAATCATCCTCCCTAAGTTGAAAGTAGTCAACCATTTTCCACCATGCAGTTTCAAATTCTTCCTCTGTCCATGACTTATAAGTGCATCTAGTAAACTCTTCCATGAAATTTTCATTTCTTTTTATTACGTGACTTAGTTTCTCATGTATATTCATCAATACATGCCACAAACAATATTGGTGGCATGCATATGGGAAGATCTCTGCAACAGATTCCTTCAAAGCCTTATCTTGATTAGTAACTATCATTCTTGGAGCTACTCCACCCATTGCTCTAAGCCATGTCTGCATCAACCAAACAAATGTTGATTCAGTGACATCTGCAAGTAAAGCACATCCAAGCAATATAGGCTCAAGGTGATTATTCACTCCAATAAAAGGAGCAAATGGCAAGTCATATCTTCTTTCAAGATATGTTGTATCAAAATAAACAACATCGCCAAAGCTGAAATAATCATGTCTTCCCTTAGCATCAACCCAGAAAACATTCCTCAGGCGCTGCTCATCATTCAAATCAACTACATAGAAGAAGTTGGGGTTTTCCTGTTGCATATGTATGAAATAATCAAGCAAAGCTTGTATATCATCTTGTTTTATAGCCAAACATGCTTTTATATCTATATGATTTCTGACATCTTTCTTTGGATAACAAACACTTTTGTCTCCATTGCACTCATTGGACATGGCATTACAGATATTACTAGTTTGTACTTGGCCAGCACATAAAAATTCTAAATGCTTCTTGCTAATAGCATTCATGCACCTGCGGCTTCGAAAATGATATGCTTGAGCTGGCAAAAGCTCATGGTTATGCTCTTTTATAAAGTTATGTACATACCACTTTCCATCCTGCCTTCTCTTCACATGCATGCTTGCTTTGCAATCTGTTTTATTAGTAGGTCGTGGATTAATGACTCCTTGCTTTGTATGCTTGGTTCCTTGTCTATAGCATGCAAAATTTGCATCAATAAATGTCCCAGTTCGTCTTGAACGACGAGTATTCCTTTTCTTGGCGGTGAATCCTAAGTAACTAGCATATTCTTCATAAAATGCATATGCTTCTTCATGTGACTCAAATTCCATTCCCTTATAAGGCTCAAAAACTGTATCCTCTTCTGTGAAAGCAAGATTGCTGGTCAGAAATCTGAAAACTGGTTCATCTTCTCCATGCACTTCTTCATCATTCACCGTATTTCCACCCACATTTGGCCTAGAGTCTTCTATTTCATGTTCATACATAGGCTCTTGAATATCTATTTGCATGGAGAAAATCTAAATCTCTCCACTCAGAGATTCCTTTGCCCTGTGGAAAAAAAAAACACGGAACTTATAAATAGAGCAATTATTCATAAATAACCCACCCCACCCCACCAAAAAAAAAATGAAACAAAAAAGAAGCTTATGAAGAGTGATATATGGTGGATTAACAATTTCTATACTCAACAATACAGAGGTGGACAGAAAAATACTAGCCAACTAGAATCAGAATGCATCATCCCACGGTAAATTGCAAATCATACTCCTCTACAAACAAAGAGGATACATTCATACATTCATACATACATGAACAGCAAAAGATGAATTACATTCATTGGGATTTCAGACACTTCCCACCCTACATTTAATTCTTCAAAGTAAATTTTTTTCTAATTTATAAATTCTAAAGCTTATTTGTTATCTTTTCTTTTAGTAATATAAAGCTGTGGAGCTGAATTTATTATAAATTAGTGCTACAGTGGGTGTGGGGCGGGAGATGCACATGCACCATATAACCCTAAACTAGTTATTCTCAAAGCTTTGACACTGAAAGTGAAACTCTATACATATATGAGTAATTAAAGTACTGAGGAATACATCCAAATTACAAGAAACCATCTAGGGCATATATTTTGTAATCTTATTTTTAATTTTTGTTTTCAAGTAAGCGAATTGAATTCAAAGGAAGCTAACCTTAAATCTTCTTCTCCTTCAGACTCCGAACCAGTTTTTTTTTCCTCTCTCTCTCTCTCTTAGTGGCTGATACTGACACTGCGTAGATCACAGCGTTATCTTTCTCAACAAATCTAGGTCAATTGGAGGATTTAGATCCCTAGAACGAAGGGAGAAAAACAATATTTGATGAAAATTAATAAATTTCGACAGGAGCAGACCTCGACCTCGAGAAGTTGGCTCCGGCGCCGGTCACGGAATCGTGCGTTTCTGCGGTAGCGCGGGTGATATGGCAGGCCTGATCGACGCTCGCGTTCGAGAAACAAGAGATAACGCCCATCAACATATTTGCCATCGATTATTGAAGGAATTACCAAAGCGAACAAGTAGTGGAGAACGGGGAGGGCAGTTTTGTCCTTCAGAATAATCTGGGATTCAGAACCCTAATTTCTCTTGGAACGCGCATCTAATGCGGTTTGCGATGGCATTACCCTACTCGACCTTTTAACGACATGAACTAAAGTGCGCGATAGCATTGCCTAACGTGCGTGCGTGACCGGGCAAGGTGATCACTTTTAGCCGTTGAATTGGAATAACTAATAGTTAACGCTTTCCCCTTGGTATGAGATGGGGAATTGAGGATGCGGTTGCAAATGGATCGAATGATCCGATCAGATACTATTTGGTCGAATTCGGATCACTTCTGTTCGGATCCTCCGATCGGATGCGATAAGAAATTGGACTGGATTCAGATAAGTCTTTATCCGATCCAAGATATATTAATATATATATGTTATTTATTTATACTATATTTTTGTAAAGTTGTTATATTATTTATTTTTTATAAAAAAACATGTATATATTAATATATATGATGGAAATAATTTAAAAAATGCTTGTATTTTTTGCTCTTCTTCGTTTAAATTGGTATATTTTAATTTCTTTTAATAATTTATTAATTTTTAAAGAAAAACAAATCGAATCGGATCATATCCAAAGATCCGATTTATTATCGGATTCAAATTCAAATCGTTGCCTATCAAATCCAATCGAATCTTTGAATTAGATCTCCTATAAAACAATGTCAGATCAAATTTGGATATATCCCGATTCAAATCCAATCCAATCCATTTACATCCCTACAACTTATGCGGATTGGATTGGGCTGGGCTAAGGCTCAACCTAGGCCCAACCCTAAGAAACCTATCATGTCAATAGCTAAACAATACAGCCACCACCCAACTTCTTTCCTAAAGCCTTTGATTTCATCACTTAGACTGTTTATAAATAAAATATTTCTGTGATTCAAACAGCCATACAAGCTACTCTTTCTCCTCTTCAACAATTACATCTAAACTCTCCATCTCTGCAGTTATACAGCATATGTCCTTTTATCTAGGTTTTGCAGATCATTCCATAATCATACATTTTCAAAAAATTATAATATATACTTAATTTGTGTTTGGATGGGCTTTAGGATGTGTGCTTTTAAAACCCAAAAGCATAAAGTCCCAATTTCAGGCTTTGTGCTTTGGGATTTAAAAGCATATGGTTAAAGAAGCCTGCTAGTAAGTTCATAATAAGTAATTGATAAGTTCCTTGATCTTAATGACATCAAATCAATTACCTGCTTGAAAGATTCAGAATTTGGGATGCAACAAAAACTTCTTAAACATTTAATGGAATGCAGGGCTATTCCAAGATAATTTATCATTGATTTTTCAGTTTTTTTAGGTAGAGAGAGAGAGATTGATCCTTTGTTCATCTACTGTGACTTGCAGGGCAGACTGGCTCTGATCCTGTATAGGTGAAACCGTGGAAGGACTGCGTTAGTTGTCCTAGAGACGAACATTGAAGGCCAGCTGGTTTTGTTTCTCAAACCAGAAAGTCCAGTAATTCAACAGCATGCTTTTGGTTTTCAGTTTTGGAAAAATCATATAATAAGAACATGTTTTCCATGTTTTTGTATTAAGAACTATTTTGTTTTCAAACCAGCTGGTTTTGTTTTGTTTCTGGAATTCACAACAAGAAAAATAATTCACATTAAAGAACACCCCCTTAGCAACCTGTTGCTGTTGCAAATGTTCTTTTGGCTCAGTTTGGAAGGAGTGCAAATACAAATATGTACAGCGCAAAGCCTTATATTTTGTATTTCTAAATCTGCATTTACACTGTATATATTTGTATTTGTACTCTTCCCAACCTTTGGCTCAATTTGAAAAAAGTACAAATACAGATTTTTAGAGTGCAAAACCTTGTATTTTGTATTATTTTGTATATATTTACACTGTACATATTTGTATTTGTACCCTTCCAAACTGAGCCTTTGCAAATAGACCCTTTTAACAGTTCTATCTGCTCTACAGCCTACATGGTAAGTATTCTACGGTATACAGGCGACTTCAGCATCACTTGGATAAAATTTTGCATTTTACAGGGTCTTGAGGTGAGACTTTGTTTTTAAAATAGACACCCAATCCGGGTTGTTCGATGGTTTGATGAGCCTTGTACATGACCTTTGGATATTTATAGACGGTAGGTAGTTCAGATGGTTAATGTTTTCTTCATGGTTTTTAAAACTGACCCAGAGACCGAACCGCTCAGGGGTCCGGTTACCGGGTCGAACGGTCCGACCATTCAACCTGTTCTGACAAAAAAAAAAATAAATAAATAAAAACGGTCAAAACCGTTCAAACGGTTAACCACCCAGGTCAGCGGTTGGCTGACCAAAATCAACGGTTTTGGAGAAAACCAAAACTGGTCACCTGACTGGTTCCCGGTTTTTCCAGTCCGACTGTTCAGTCCGGTTTTGAAAACCATGGTTTTCTTAAATGTTTTGCTTTAAAAAAAGCATGATACAGGCAGTAAAAGAATACCAGTTTTTTTATTTTTTATTTTTTTTAATTATACACTTAATTTCAGAACATTACGCTGAAAGGTGAACAAGTAACTTTCCCTTCACATCTTAAAGCATTTCTCTCTCCAATTTTAAAGAAATGAAAAGAGATAATAATGTAGTAATTTTGTAGAATTACAACCTTTTTTATAGAATTAGAATTTGGATGCTGGATCAACTACTGGTCATTGCTGAAACATATACATTTCTTGCTTAATCAATCAAAAGTAACATTTGCGGATCTTGCAGTTTGATTAGATGGGTGCTTTGATAAACTTTTTCCAAACTTGGGTCTAAGTGAGTGAAAAGAAGTGAGTCCACCCTCCTGACCATGCAACAGTTGCCTCCATACAGACACCTTGCAAATTTTTGAGGCCACAAGATCGAATTTGTGCACCAGATATAATTTTACCATCTTTCTTTGCCACACCATAGAGATCCTGAATTAAAAAGAAATAGTTCAGTGTAATAAAAGATAAAAACTACAAAAAAAAAAACAAAAATGACAGAAAACATATTTGAAAGTTCAATTGTCAAAGGAACAAAACTACCTTGCGCAAATCAAAGATGGTAGCAGTAGCAGCTATGGTAGATTGACAAAAAATAAAACAGGAAGTAGTATGGCAATCCATCCTATGGCCTGCAAAACATGATTTCATGTTAGTCAGAGAATCTTAAGAAATAATTTGGTTGCTGACTTCCTCCAGATGTTCAGTCAGCATCAAATGCACATGGGTGTAACATTGGATGCAGAAGGGATTTGTAAAGTTGCAAACCATGAAGCCTACTATGGAACTAGTTGAACAAGTAGCAACAGAGAACTGGTAAAGCAGTACAATTACATCCAGAAAAGCTGATTATGAATAATTACGCAGGGTGATTTACCAAACAAAAATTGCACATGGTGGTGCAGTCATTTAGCAAAGAATCAAATGCATAACATTCATTTCAAGGGAAGGGAGATGTGTGTGTTGATAACCAAGACAATGGGTCTTTGCGATTCCCATGTAAAGGGTGTTCTCATTTTTATCATACTCAACTGAATGGCAAGTATGCTAATTCTGTAGTCATAGGCCATTTCATTACCTTTATGCATTTCCTTTGTTTGGAAAGAATCCTAAGACCTGAGAGCTGAGATGAAACTAACTTCACTGCTCTTATGTTGTAATGATTGGATTCATAATAATAGTAAACATAAGGGCAAATGGGCAATAACCTGTTTACAGTTGATATGGGCATGCAGATTGTTCAGGAAAGAAAGAAGGAATTTACATAAACTTTAGATGACCTATCCTATTTCTGGGTAAAAAAAAAATAATGAACTTAAATTGACTTTAAAATAATTAGTTATTCATTGGAGCATGCAACTGGGACCAATAATTCTCTCGACAACTTTTGGAAAATTTGATAAGATAAATAAACTTCCTTAGAAAATAAGGTACGTAAAAATGAATTGCTTATCCACATAAGCATGGGGTCAATTCCCATGAATCTCATTATTTAGACACCTAAGCTGAAGTTTTTCAGTCCTCCCAGATTTTCAAGCTAGCGAAGGCAATCAAGTACTATTTGAACAAGCCACTAGGTTATAACTCCTAATATTAATGTGATTATGCAAGGTACTTTGTCATCAGTCATTACCAGCTGGGAAATTGCGAATACAATCACATAACAATCACATCAACCAAGAAATCCAGCTACGTATGAAACATAACCTGGAAAGAACACTCGAAAGAGACAATTATACAGCCATAAGTACATAATATTACTTCCTACGTCAAACAGTTTCCTAGAAAAGACATACAACAGTGGTCTAACAATGTTTAAATCAAAATAATTTTTCCCTAGAAAATGGAGATTGATACCTCTAAATCCAGAGAGAATAGCAGAAGTTGTCATGAAATTCTACAATGCAGTTCTCCAAATAGATACCAATCCAGTGGACAATAGTTGGGAGCACTTCACTATTCATAGAGATTCAGTTCTGCAAGATAAGTTAAATGACTATGAGAATACTTAAATTTTGAGTTTTGCTATATATATGGCCAAATCTAATCATGACAGCAAATGAAGATATTCTACCATTACTGGGTAAACAAGAAAATGGTTTAGACCAATTACTTGAAGGAGATATCATTCCATTCAGTAAAAAACCTAGAAGTGGGCAATATTTCTGGAGAGTTGAAACCAAGCACCACTAAAGTGGTTTGTTTATAAGTTCCAATAAATTAGTTTTTAAAGTTTAGACCCATAGGATCTTCCAAATCAAGGTTAAATAGATTTCAACCCTTTAAATAAAACACAGTTCTATTAAAAAGGGCTTATTATTTGATAACGAAAATTAGTTTTCAACAGAATATTCAAATGATACAAACTTATGGTACCAAGCTTCAAAACACCATAAAATCACAAACCTGTAATCTTCTACACTTCTTTATGTAAATTGCATGACAAGTTGACAATTATTATATACAATACTGTCCTCTAATTCTTTTAAATATGAATTTCTAGTGTTTGTTTGTTATTTGACTTGTACAAAAATGTTATTATAGCAAATTCTAAGCATAGCCTCATTATTGTTCTTTTAGCAATGCATGAAGCATATTCACGTAAATTTCTTTACAATATTTATGCATGTTTTGACCTTTAGTCAGAGTTCCAAACTTCAACTGGGAAGCCAAAACTTTTACTAAAGTTTAACTCAAACTCAGCCTTCTAACAATCAAAATAAATGCATAAATTAAACAAATAAACTTGACCTTAAAGTTTTAATAATTTCTATCATATTTGAAATATTTTTAAAGTCTCATTTCAATCCTTGATTGCAGCCAGCACATCCTGATAAAGTAGTATGATAAAAAGATGCGACAGAAAACACAACTAAAAAAAAAAGATTATGAACAGAAAAGTCTGGACAACTTGGACCAAAATATCAAATTATTATTCTGAACTGTACTATAAGAAAGAAAAAGGATAACCATGAATTGAAGGGACCATGAGTTTGAGAAAGGCAAAAACAAGTTGGGCAGTTCAGAGATGCTTATAATAAATAGTAAGTTACAAGGTTACCCACTCAAGAATAAATTGAGACAAATAGATAAAAAAGGGCAACTCAACATACTGATTGTACGAAAAAATGATGTACAAAAGAATATGTGCCTTAGACCCCATAGGCAAGAAGGTCAATCTCTAGTGCTTAACCATGCTTTCTTCTTTACATTTTTTCCATTTAACAGTCTATCCCCCATGGGGCATTCCCCAAAATAGCTGAGGTCTTTCTGCTATTTGTTTGGCACTTTGGCTAGTGCATCAGCCAGCCAAGTGAACTGTTTCATTTCGCTAGATCAATTTTTATTGAATATATAATATACAAGGGTTTTGAGAAGATAAAAAAAAGAAGGATAAAAGAGTTCTGTTATTTTTTCAAAACTCTCTCCCTCCCTTTCACATTAAATAGAGCCCCTTGATCTTTTTCTCTCTATATCATATTTTTATTAGTATAGAATCATATCCTTCTTTTGTTGATAATTGAACATGAAATTTTTTTTTCAGGTAATTTGACATGAAATTGCTCTATTAAATATTATATTATTGCCTTATGTTTGAAGTACTAAAACTAGTATATTTAAAATGTTAGTCTTTTAGATATGATGATTTGCCATGTTCTTGAGAGGAAAATTAAAGTTACTTTTTAATCAGTAAAGAAAATTTAATGTCATTAGTAAAGACATCGTTACTTCTCAATTTATATACATGCTAATTGGTATATATAAGTTATAACTAAGGAAATGACCTAGAATTTAGTTTTTTTTTTTTTTGTAAAGTTCTATTGCTTAGGTGATGCCTAGACACCCACCTACGCGACTAGGCATTTCACCATTGCCTAGAATCACCAATATGCCTTAACAACTATGTACAACTTGTTCAAAGCTTCTTTCTACTTCCTCAAATAGAGTGAAGATTATGTGGAGGTGCACTATGGTGGATGTTCTTTGAATTGAATAGGAAGAGAGGAATAAAAAATATTCAATGGGAAGACATGAACCAAGGAAACAATCATTGAAAGCATTTCTGTTAATATAGTGCACTGGGAGAAAATTCTGGAGATTTTTACCCCCTTTACCTCAGATAATATTCTCAGAGGATTGCAGTGGATGACATCCCCAGCTATGGATAGATCCACAGTTTTATTGCAATGGCAGACTCCAACTGAAGACCAAGTTAAATTGAATTTTGACGGTTGTGGCTTCAGCAGTCCTGGGCTCTCAGGCATAGATAGGGCATTTAGAGATGGTCATGGGACTATATTGTCATATTTGATTGTAGCTTATTATTCTTCTCAAATTAATTAAGTTCAAGGTTACCAATAAAAAAAATATATAATATCTGACATATGGTAAGGCTGTAGTGGCTAAATATATTTAGCCAATATATTTAGGCTAAAACCAAGAAAAAGCAAGCACTTCAGGGTCATTTGGTAACTGATGTGGAATTGTGGATGAACTGAATGACTTATTCCTCTAAAATAATCAGACAAGAAAATATTTAGGGGTATAATAATCAATTCAACATGCTATCAGCCATTAAGGAGCTTACAACCTACTTATCCACTAAAAGACAAAGCAATAAATCATTCAGTTCAGCCATTTTAGCAGTTACCAAACGACCTATCAGTCCACCTTGTGTCTTTTGATTGAAATTATTTCTAAGTGTAAAGTTATGGTTAACAAGGAATTCTTTCAGTTTTCTTTGAGAGATAGTTATCAAGGCCATTTACAATTATATATGCATCAGGTGTATATAGATGGAACCTTTGCTCCCACCATGGTAACATTCTCATAAGAAAACCAGCAAGGAGATACTGAACAGAGAGTAAAATAGGCAGGGAATTTGCAGGAAAAAACAGCACCTTATAAAAGCAAATGTTTTATAAACAGGATACTCATGAAGCCAGAACCCATGTGGGGTAGAGAAACAATTTGCCTGCAAAAAAACATAAGCCAGAACACATGTAAATCAAATATCTAGGAAATAGTCCATGGAACATAGATTATAGAAATGTAATAAGAAACATACTTGCTCGAGTGATATAACCTAAGATTTGAGGCAGGTCTGAGTACAAGAAAGTGCCACTTAAAAAATAGGGCAACCTTGCAAGGAATTATTTTGCGGAAGTTTGCTTTAAGCTCAAGATTAATGACTATTTCTGCTGCTACCTGAGGAACCAACTAATATCAGGATGAAATAATGTCATGATTCAAGTTCTTGATTTTTGGGTCCTATTGACATTAGCAACATGGATCCAAAATAATGCCATGATTCCAATAGATGGGCAAAATTTTCTTCAAAGATCCTTACTCAAGCTTCAAAGGCTCACTTGTAAAATGTATTGGCTTAATATGCTCTGGAAGCATACCCCGTTTGGTGATACCCTCTGATATTAGAGTAGCTTCTCTTGAAAATCCTGAACTACATAAACCATTAACCAATGTGGTATACGTAATTTCATCCAACATAATACCTCTTTGGGACATCTGATCACATAGTTTGAAAGCCTCTTCTATTTTTCCTCCTTTGATGAATCCATATGTCAATGTATTGAATGTGACAATATCTGGGACAATACCATTCCCCACCATTGTCCCTAGAAGCTCAGCTGCTTGTTGCATGTCACCCAGTTTACAATACCCATTAATCATGACAGTGTAAGTAAACTTATTTGGAGCTATTCTATATGCAATCATTTCCTGCAAAATGTTGCTAGCTCTGTCCATCTTGCCTAACTTACAATACCCATCAATCAATGCAGTGTAACAGAAGACCTCTGGTATCAAGCCTTCTCCTCTCATCTCATCAAGAAGGTCCTTAGATTCCTCAACATGGCCAACTTTGCACATTCCATGTATTAATGAATAGTACGTCCTAACAGTTGGTGTAATACCATTACTCTTCATTTCATCACGAAGCTTAATGGCCTCCAGAATCTCTCCAATTCTACAATACCCCCCAATTAGGGTATTATATACAATAGAATTCAGCTCCAAGTTTTGGTTGACCAACTCATTGAAGAGAATTTTCCCCTCTTCAACTCTCTTAGCTTTGCAAAATCCATCTATCATGATGCTGTACATCGAAAGATCAGGAACCGAGCCATCTCTTTTGCACTCATCCCAAAGACCAATAGCTTCATCCATTTTACCCATATCACATAGTCCTTGTAGCAGTGCACTATAAGTGAAAACATCGGGTTTAAATCCTTGCTTAATCATGCCTTCTTTCAACTTAAACCCTTCTTCCAACTTCCCCTCCTTGCAACATCCTGAGATCAGTGTGTTGTATGTGATCTTATCCAGTGCTAGTCCCCTCTCAAGCATCTCCTTGAGAAGTCTAACTGCTTTCTGCAAATTACCACTTTCACAGAGTCCATGAATTAGAGAATTTGAGGTTATTGTATTGGCTGCAAACCCTTTCTCCAATAACATAAACCAAACATCAACTGCCTCAGAATGTTTCCCCACTTTACAAAGCCGACCAACCAGATTTGTCAGAACCCCATCATTGGGCCTTAAATTCCTCCAAACCATCTCTCTCAAGAGCTGAATTGCAGTATCCAACCTAGATCGAAGACAAAGCCATTGGATAATTGAATTAAAGGCAAAAGGATTTAGGGAAACCCCTGCCGATAACATCTCCTCCAAAAGACACTCAGCCTGCTCCATCTTACCAACCTTGCATAAGCCTTTAATAAGTGAATTGTAGGTGACTGAATTTGGATAAATCCCCTTGGACACCATCACATCCCTCATTCTTGAAGCTTCACTAAAATTTCCCATTTTGCAGTACCCATCAATCATCGTGTTATAAACAACCTCATTTGGGGCAACCCCTCTGTCTGACATTTCCCTTAAGGCACGGTTTGCATCCTCAACCCTCTCAGATTTCATCAGACCATTTATAAGAATGCTATAAGTTTGAAGACTAGGATTCAGACCATTCTTAAGCATTTTCTCCTTGAACCTAAAAGCCTCATCTAAATTTCCTTTCTTCAAAAGCCCATCGATAACGGTATTATAAATCACTACGTTGGGAGATATTCCCGATTCCTCCATTTTAAAAAACAACCCGATTGATTCTTCAATTTTCCCACCCTTGCAAAACGCATTAATTGCAATTCCATATGAGTAAACATCAAAGGAGAGACCTCTGTACAGAATCCCAAAAACTTCATAACTCCTCTCGAGCTCATTCACCTTCACAAGCGAGTCCAAAAGGAAATTGGACGTCTTCAAAGACAGAAATAGGCCATGACTCGTCAATAATTGAAACACATCAAAAGCAAGCTCCAATCCCAAATTCTTGAACTGGGTGCAGTAAACATGAACTAATAAATCAAATGTTGAAACTGCTGAATTTGAATCTATAACTGCCTGGGCAATCTCAAGATGCCTGTCATTTGGTTTCTCAAACAGAGCAGGTACATTGCCATCGATTAAGCGGATCAAAAGCAAGCGAGCGGGAAAAATGAGATTGGACCCAACAAGTAGATTGATGAGAATGCAATAAGATCTAACCGTGAAACGGAAACCAACCGACTGGGATGCGAATGTGAAGAAATTTAATGCTGTTTTTGGGTTAGTCGAGGACCGGAGCTCGAAGAAGATGTGATCGAAATGGTGAGGTGATATATGAGACAGGGCTTCTCTGCATTTGGAGGTGTCGAGAGACTTGCTCGAAAGGATTGAAGTTACCTTATTTAGAAAGTGCTGATCGTATGGTGGCGGTGGAGTTGGAGCTGGTGGTTGTTTTGGGTGCTGTTCATGCTGCTGCTGAGCAGTGGAGGTGGCGCAGGATGAGCAGCGGATGAAGGAAAACACGAGAGGCGTATGTTTGGTTTCAACGGAAGTAGCAATTCTTCTCAAATCCATATATTAGAGAGAGATAGAGATAGAGATAGAGAGAGAGAGAGAAAGAGATCCGGTTATTTGTTTTCAATTGTTAACAGAGGAGGGTTTCGGTGGAGGTGGCGGCGATGGCGCCATGAGGGTTGAGTCTCTCTGGTCAATCGAGATTCGAGAGGAGTTGGAACTTGGAAGCGGCCACGCAGAGAGAGAGAGGAGGGGAGTCCCACACAGATTCTGCCCACGTCTACCCACGTAACATCGCAGCTACATGAAAACATCTCATCCTCTGGTATTATACAGCGGAGATATTCCCAATTCACGGGGTACTGTATTATAAGTAGACGTGAACAGAATTCTTGTGGGCAGGTGATCCGGAGTCGGGGGAGGGGTCTCTAACCCCTTCCGCAAACGGGCATGACGGGAAGTGATTGGAGCATGGAGAGAGTTTCAGGTTCAAACCTCAATTTACAATAGGATGAACCGGTGGGCCCTGGTGAAACCACATGCACATCCGATCCGTCCACTCTTTCCCGATTCGATATAATTCAACTACATGTTCGGGGTCTCATATTTAGTAACCTGGATTTTTAGAACGACCCCACCCGAAAAAAAGTTGAATTAGGTTGAATCATGAATCAATTCGCTGATTCAATTGTCAGGTCTAATTGTGACTATTTATATATGTTAGAAGATTTTACTTCTTAATTTTTTAGATTTTTTTTTAAAATTGATTTATTTTTCAAATTTAAGAAGCCCTAAAATACATGAAACGTGTTAGTAATCATTACAGGGCATATTGCTGGGTCGAGGCAGCCAACAATCGACCCGAATCCAATTAACGCAGGTCTATGTCAGGTCAAAATGCTACGTTCATGCTGATCCTGTAAGGTTTGGCACTTGACTGTACTATTGATTAAGGCTTAGTTTGGAAGGAGTACAAATACAAATATATAGAGTGTAAAACCTTATATTTTGTATATATTTATACAATATATATTTGTATTTGTACTCCTTCCAAACTAAGCCTTAGGCTCCCTTTTGTATAAATACATAGAGTGCAAAACCTTAGGCTTTGTATATATTTGTACAAATATGTAGAGTGCAAAAAAATTCTATTGAAGCCATATGCTTTATTGAAACCATATGCTATTGAGCAAACATTGAAGCCATATGCTATTGAGCAAATATTCCAATTACATCTCCACCAGAGGAATTCCAATAAAGAAACTCCAAAAATTCTATTTCTATCGAACCCATATGCTTTATTCATCTTATCTGAAATCTTTTAAAAGAAAGCAGGCTATCCAGATCTGTCAATCTTGAATTGTCGGTCCGAGGTGGTCCAAAGGTCTCCCAGAAGCGAAGAGTTTCATCTGTCTCAGCGGAAACCACAGTTAGTCCATCTGGGCTCTGCATAGACAAATAAGGAGCTTGAATGAGCTACACATCTGAGTTCATTGGAACTACCCTATTCTTAAAGGCTTATTCTGCTTTTGCTATGTAGAGATTTTTGTTCTCTAACCTGTGCAAGGTGCAGGACCCTAGACTCATGGCGTGGTGATGCTCCAATTTTTGACAAGGAGGGGTACTTCCACAAGCATAGCTTAGTTTGATCATGCTGGTGCAGGCTGAACCCATGGCCGCTCAAGATCTCATTGTGATGCCGATTCCACTGCAACCCACATACCTGTATGTGTATCATAAGAATGAAAACTTACTGACCATGAAGCACAAGAAACAAAGTATTAGGATCCCATCTTAGGTGGATTTTATCCAAGCAGATTTTCTGCATTGACAGACAACTACTGTTCTGTTCACAGTCTTATAGTTTGCAGGATCATTTGCTAAATGATAGACAGACAATTCCCACTGGGGGACTAATCCTACTATAACCTGATAAGAGCTCACAGAAAGAACCAAAACTAAAAGAAACACAAATGCATCACGATAGTAGAACTTACTTGCGCTTTGGTATCTATACTGTTAAGGCACTTCCCTGTCTGTGAATTCCATATTTTAATACACCGATCATTTGTACCACCTCCGGATGCCAGTATATTGAACTCATATGGACTCCATGCGAAGGCCTTGACCGCTGAATGGTGTTCCGTGAAACGATGCAAGAAACTGGATGATCTCATGTTGGAAGCTTCCCATATGTGGATGATATTGTCATTGCCCCCACTTGCCAATAGATTTCCCCTGCTTGACCATTTCAGACCACACACTTCTTCATTGTGTGCTCTTATGCAGGAAGTCAGATTCCTCCTTGATCTCACTGACAATGAGAGAGAGAGAGAGAGAGAGAGAGAGAGAGATTCTGTTGGTAATTTTATGAAATGGTGGAGTAAATGGAAATGAATATGTCTAAATGTGAGTACCATCATGATTGATGATATATCTGTCACGGCTCCCTGATGTTAGAAGGTGGCCATTCCAGGCAAGGATTCCAACTCTGTTCTCATGGCCTTCAAGTCTTCGCACCTGAATTGAAAAACAGTGAGAGTAGTTAAAAGAACCAAACAGAGATTGGAAGAAGCTCCTTCTGGTACTTAGGGGTCGGTACATGTACATAATATGTCCAATAGGTCCATTTTTACACTCAGGAAGTATATGGATTTAATCTCCTATTGTCTACAAACCCACAAAAAGTAAATTAAACCAATCTTACCAAGCTAGGGATAGAGAGAAAGAAAGAACTTACTAGTTGGGATGTTTCAGCATCCCAGAGCTGAAGCTCAGAGCAGGAGAGTCCAACTGCTAACATTTTAGCATTCTGAGACCATGCAACACTTGTGGGATAATCATCTTCACCATCTACTGACATCAGTTTCCGAGCCTTTCTGCTTTCAGCATTCCAGAGATATAATTCTGATCCCAAGGCTACAGCAAGAATATTGTTCTGCCCCCAGTCCATGATATTAAGGTAGTAATCATCTTTGAGCCTTGGTGCATCCAGGATCTTTGATTCTGACTGCACAGACCCACATATCGTGAACTAAAAGAATTAAAAAGGGGTAAAACAACAAAGCTTCAATTATTCTTTTTAAAATCTATCTAGATGGTTTCAGAAAACGGGAATCAATTGAGAGTTTGAGACTATCAGAAATCACTGTCCAGGAGTCGAATTATTTTCAAACACATTCCCCACTCATGAGATAACAAGCACCATAATCCCAAAGTTATACTGAGTATACAACTTCTCTGTTTTTCCTCGAAACGAACCAAAAAATAGAAGGCCAAAAATTTAGAAGTTTTCATGAAGAGTAATCGGCAACAAGGAAGAAATGTGAGATCGGCACCTTGGGAAACTGCCGAAATTGCTTGGCATTCTCCAACGACTCCAGCTTCTCCTGCTGCGTACTATCTGTTGTACAAAGGGATCTTCTACAGGTTTTTGGGCTTCCTCTGAAAACCAGCATCCGAAAAGGCTTCCCTTCAGAATCTAATGTCAGATTCTCCTCCACCCTTTTCCGGTACAAATCCTGTCTCGAACAATAACAAACGTTCTTGTTTAGTAACTTGAAGAAAACAGGAAACCCTTCTGCCAAATTCAAGTGAAAGAGATTAAAAGGACATTGAACTTTGAATTGGCGGGTGAATCGAGCATCGAGCCACTGCTTTCTTTTGTAGTGCTTGTCAACAGGCTGCGGACATGATCAAGATCCATCAAACTTCTGTTTGGTATGAAACGATCACCCTTGAAAAACAGAGGTCAGAGAGAAACCTATTACTGTGTCGTCAAAAACAGAAAAACCGGAAATACAAGAATTCAAGAAAAATATCAAATAAACGAAAATACTGAGTGCTGAGACTTTTTGCACTGAAAGAACTGCAGAGATGTGAAGAAAGAAGGAAAAGCTTGATACCGGAAAGTCATATTTCATGGGACTACTCAGAAGCCGACGCGGAGAATACCAATCCAACTCTAACCTCCACATTGCACGGTTTCGTTGCTTGATCGGCTAATCACAAAACCAACTGAAGCGATGAAGTTGGATCTTTTCTTTAAATGCTACAACGAGAAAAATGCACCCACCATGAACAGATTTCCTGTTCAGATGGTCTTTCTCCCGCCAAAGTTCTCATTTGCAACGGAAAACGACCGTTTGTCACTGTTTTCCCATGTCTAAACGTTGTCCCGATACGCCGGTACGGTAATAAGGGTATAAGACGAGTCTCTTCCGCACAACCGACGCATCGATTAATATCAACGGAACATCTTTCCTTTATTTATTTATTTATTTATTTTCTGATGAAATATAAATAGCTCCCCTGAGGTTTTTGATGATCATAAAAGCCTCCCTTGTAACTATGTTAACTTCGGTGGAGGTTTCAACAATTTACCTCAAATATAATTTGATCCTTAAATTATAGTTGTTTGTGATAACCAAGTAAGTATCAAGAAGCAAAATAATTAGCTCCAAAGAAAATGTGGTAATATATAGCAGTATTATACACTAAAATCATCATGAAAACCTTCCCCAAATAGCTGCCCATTATCAAAAGAAAGATAAAATTTTGGAGGACATGGAGAGCTTTTGGCATAAAAAACCTAGGCTGTTATGGCTAGCTCGGGGAGATAATAATACCAAGTGTTTTCATAGCAAGTGTGATCACCATATAAAAGAAAACTTGCATCGACTAGATCAAATATTCTTGTATAACTTGGGTGTTGGACCACAAGGGCATTGCCTCAACCTTTATTAGCTACTTTAAGGATTTGTTTGCGAGTCCCTATGACCCTAAAGTTTAGGATGTCTCCACGTTGTTATAGTCGGTCATCACTGATAAGGACAATCCTAGTCTTATGGCTATCCCCCTCAACTGAGGAGGTGAGAGGAGTTGTGTTTAACATGGGCGCTTTAAAAGTCCCAAGGTTAGATGGGATGCCCACTTTGATTTATTAAGAGTTTTGGGGCCTTATGAGCTCTCACTTAGTTTACTTCTTGTAAGAATATAAATTCTTAGGAGATTAAGATTATAGGCCTATTAGTTTCTGCAATGTGATTTATAAGAGTCGGACGACCTTTATTCCTAGTCGGAAGTTGTTGGATAATGTGATTGTAACTCATGTGATTTACCACTTAATGAGAAAAAGTCAGGGTTAGGAGCATGACTTTAAAGTTGGACATGATTAAAGCCTATGATAGATTGGATTGGTTGTGTTTAATTGTTGTATTGAAGGCTCCCGGGTTTGCTGAAGACTGGTGTTAGATGATCTATCAATGCATAATTGTTTCCTTTCCGGTCTTGGTTAATAGTACAACAAAAGGGCATTTTACCTCATCTCGGGGTATTCTCCAGGGGTCCCCTTTCCCCTTATTTATTTGTTCTGACTATGGAAAGTCTTTCTAGGGTCTTGTTTAAGACAGAAGAGGAAAGTATAATTCAAGGTATTTCTATAGCTAGAGGGACTCCTTCAATTTTTCATTTGTTCTTTACGGATGATATTATTCTATTTTTGAGAGCACATAGGGATGAATTAAATAACCTTAAGGAGGTCCTGAATCAATACCAACAATTGTCTAGACAAATGATCAATTGTGGTCATCTTGAGTAAGACCATCCACCCTAGGTACTAGCATATGATTAAGTGTCAATTGAAAATGGGCTTTGGATACCAAGTCCAAATATATTGGCATTCCTTTATTGTAAAATAAATAGAAGTACTAGTCTCTTTCCTTCATATTGGATAACTTAAAGGTCAAAATGTCTTGTTGGAAAGTCTTGGCACTATCATGGTAGGTTGGCAAACCTTAGTTCAGTTTGTCCTATAGGTTGCCTTTATCCACTGCATGGAGGTGGCCCAATTTCCCTAAAAGACCCTGTTGGGTTTAGAAAGGACCCAATAGGATTTTTGGTGGCCCAATAAAGCAAGTCGAGGAAGGTTCAGATGGTGCTCTTGGGACCGACTGTGTGCCCCTAAACTACAAGGTGAGTTTGGACATATAGATCAATGAAAGTAATCAATAAGGTCATATTGTAACAACTTGCTTGGAGGTTTCTCACTAAAAACCACAATTGGTGGAAAAAATTATGGCAAACTAAATATTTAAAGGATGGGCAACTATTTCCCTTTAGAATCAAAAGGGCAACTTCTGTTTTTTTTTTTGGAAATTTGTAAGGCAGATCCTTAAGGAGGTGGGGTTCCTAATCTCTCCTTCTTTGCAAGCTTTAATTTCCCTGACCCCTGATCATGGACAATGATGGGTTTTTAGGGTTTTCTCAACCATTGGTAAGGGAGCTTCAGTCCTATAAGGTCTCCAATTTGATAGGAGCGGATAGGTTATGGAACAGACCCCCTATCCTCGGCATATTCCAGGAAGAATTAGTGAAACTCCCATTTGCCCAATGGACCTTGAGACTTAGTGGATTTGGACAGAAGGGCGTAACGGGCTATTCTCTCCCGAACAATATTACCGGCTTGACTGTAGTGCTCTTAGGAGCCCAATGAATTCATCTTCGGATTTGTTATAAATGGGTTTGGAAGTTAAAGATTCTAGGGCATTTCAAGCTAGATCTTTGCCGAGCTTTAGCTGATTTGATCCTAGTTAAGGAAAAACTAGGCTTAAGAAGGGAGGATGGTGTTGTGTGTCTTGTGTCAAATCAAGTTGAGTGGGGGGACCATCTCTTTGTCAATGTCCTTTGGCTGAGGCTATTTGGTTTGGATCACATTGCGCCCCCAACTTCTAGGACCTTATGGATTGCTCCTTGGTTTGGATTTTTCAGCTTATTAGTTCCTTATCGAGCAAACAAACTCTCTCTGAGATCATCTTCTGGACAACTATTACAATTTTCTATATTTGGTTTGTTAGGAATTATTGGTTTTTAACGGGAAAAGGATAGGAGTGTTGTGGGTCTTGAATAGAGTTGGTACAATTTACCAGTTAATCTCTACTACTTGGAATGAAATATAACCCCCATATCATGGCAACTCTGGGTTGGGAGTTTGTTACTCCCTTGGATACTCAATGTGTGTGTATGTGTTTTATTTTTTTATGATGGAGGATTAGCTAACTTGCCTATCAACAATTTTGACGTTGTGTACAATGATAGATTTGCTTACTATGTAGGTTCAGTTGGAGGATCATTTGAAGCTCAATGGATTGTGGAAGAAGCAAAGCTTATGGCCATCTTTAAAGCTCAATAGCTTAAACTTTGCATATGGATTGATCCCTTGGGGGCTAATCATATCTCTCTCTAAATCCAGGCTTTGAAGTCTATATTTCATGATTTATGGTTTTGCATATATTAATAGATAGTTGAATGCCCTTGCGCATAGTATTGCGTACTATACTAAACATACATAGGACAATTTTTTTTTGTTTGGTCACCAACTTACTTGGCTGCCAAATGTTATGAACTTGACCTCTTTTGACGGGTAAAATTACATTTTTTATCTATAAAAAAACTAAAAACATTATCATAGTTTTCAAAACCGGATCGGACTGGACGGTCGGATAAAAAAAATGGAACCTCCAAACCTGCTTTTTCCCCCAAAATCGTTGATTTTGGTCAGCAAACCGCTGAACTGGTTGGTTAATCGTTCGAACGGTTTTGACCATTTTGAAACTTTTTTTAATTTCTTTTTATTTTTTTGTTAGAACGGGATGGCCATTCGGGTCGAATGGTCAGACCGTTCGAACTGATAACCAGACCCCTGACCGGTTCGGTTTTAAAAACCATGCAAAGGCTGGCAAGAGGAACCATGATCTTGATATGAGAGGGAGGTCTTTTATGGTTAGACAAACACATAGTATAGGGATGGCAATTTTCCCCATCCCCGATAGGTACCCGACTACATGGGGTTGGGGATGGGGATTGCTTTGGCGGGGCAGGGACGAGGACGAGGATGGGGACGGGGATTAATAGGGATCCCCGACTGAGATCGAGGTTGGGAATGGGGAATGAGGCCCCTGCCCTGCACCGACCCCGATTATATATATATTAAATATTATTCGTATTAAATATGTACTGCTATATATATGATATTATTTCTATTATATATATCAAAATATATTTAAAATATTCTTTATATTTTAAAATTTTTATTTATTTTAAAAATTTACTGCCAACTAAAAAAGTTCGGAGATTTGGGTCCTCGTTGGGGATTGGGGATAGAGGACAATATTTACCCCTGACAATAGGGTCGAGGTCGGGGACAGGGACAAGGAATATGATCCCCGCCTCAAACCCACCCCATTGACATTCCTAAGATAGTATGGAATTTGGTGATACCATTTGTCTTTATTTTTGAAAATTCAAATAATTAATAGGGTAAAAGAGACTTTTTGATGATTATGTTAGGGTTAACTTTGACAAGGGAAGTGATCTTAGTCTAATTTGAAAAGAGCTGAGAGGTTTCAACATTTAGGCCTCGTTCACTTTTTGGTAAGTGTGTTTACCTATGTTCTTTTATTTCTTAGGTAAATAAGATAATGACCGTTTTAGCCATGAAAAAATCATTATTAAAATGAGCAATTTTGTCCCATCCATGTATTGACAACTTTTCTCCTAAGTTTTAAAGTTACTTACCCACCTATGTAAGTGATAACCAATGAAAATATTTTTTTTCCATAGACCCTATATAAATATAAAAAAATAGAACCAATTTTCCCCATTTCAAAATCTAAAAATACGAACTGGCCCTTAGGAGAAACGTCAAGGAAGGTTTACATGTTTTACCTACCTACAAGTCAGTGAATTACAATAAGCTGAAGTTTTGCCTACCCTATTAACCCTACTATGGCTTGTATGGGCTTTAGGTATCATTCTTCCTAGATTGATAGCCCACAATTGCTGAAAAAATAAAACATTCCAGCCTGGCCAATAGTGGGTTGGGATCGCCTATACCCATTGTTGTCACTTAGTTACCAAGTGTCATTCATTTCCCATTCCCAACCATTTTCCTTCCAACCAAAAGCATAACCTAAAGGATAATCTTCAAGGACAG